CTAACAATGTTCTAAATTTAAGAAAAAAATCTCAAATACATGCACATTATTAAATTTTGATAATTTTTCTGTATTTTATTAAAAAATATATTCATAAAACATTTCATATTTGAAAATGCCATTAAAATTTGAAAATTTCTGAAAACATGGACCATTTTTAAAAATTCACAAAAAGTTTTTTGAAAATAGGACATTAAAAAAAGTTAACAGTTTTATCAAATTCACAAACATTTTCGAGAAATTTATTTTTAATAAAAAATTCTAAATTTAATAAGAGAAAATATATATTTTAATAGTTTTTCAACCTTTCCACTGCAGTTTTTTTTTGAGAAAACTATTAGAAGATCTTATGTATCTAAGAGAAATCCTGTGAGACGGTACAACAGTGATACGCAAATGGGCCGGCCCGTCACTAATTCTTTGTGGGTTTGCCCAGAATTTTGACACACAGCGCGTCAAAATGGGGGCTTATTGCCTGCAGGCCCACTATATGAAACATTAAGTCCATGATTTTTGAGTCCACATGACCCAGATGTAATTTCTATTGATCAATAAAGTGAGTGTCTTCCCCTAAAAATAAGTGCATGATTTTTATTTGCAAAATTGATTCCATGATTTTTAATGTTGGAACAAAATTGCTTTGCTTAATAGATGTAGATATTGTCAAAAGCTTAGTTTAGAATGGAGAAAATATTGTGATAATTTTAAACATGTTCGTATATGTATAAGTGTCAACAGATATTAAATACAAATGGTCATTTCATATTTAATACATTTATGTATACAGAAACTATATGCATGTATTAGGAAAAGGTTCAAGGTTCATAGATTTTCCAAAATATATTCATACACATGTCTCTACTCTTATAAAAACCGAGTTGATGATGATGGTGTGCCTGTCATCTTACAATATAGACCGTCCGATCTATATCTGATGGATAGAAAGCAAATTATGACAATTTTGCAAAAAGATACACGCACCTCTCTCCATATTTGCAGATAAGCCCTTTCCTTGTTCATCCTTATCTCCCACAACCTAGTTGTTGAGCAATTAAAAAAGAAAGCGTCTCGAACAATCTGGCATGGTGGCCGCTGCCGGCGTCGTCCATCCCCATGCCTCCGCTCAGTCCGACCATCAATCACCACCACGCCCCACTCCTCCTCACCTTATGTCTCCTCTTTCTCGAGATATCATTAGTTTTTACACATGAGATTATTCCCGCATGGGTCAATCACAAACAGGGTGTTTTGTAAAAAAATGCATCTTGGTGTTCCGTGCAATGCACGGGCATCTTGCTAGTCAATATATATGTTCATGTACCATAGGAAAAATGTGCAACTTCACCCGCACAAAAAGGAAAAATGTGCAACTCCAGTAAGAAAAAAGAGATAATTTCAAATAACGTAATAAAAATGGTAAAAATTAAAAGATTGAAAAGAGAAAACATTGGAACAAACAATGAAAGGAAAAAGGAGAAAAAGGAAAGTAAAAAGAATGAAAGGAAAAATGGAACAAATTTCAAATGGGGTCCAATCCGGGACATTGCGTGTGTGCTTTTCTTCATCAATGCTTTGCATTAAGTGTCAAATAGGATCTACCTTTATAAAAAAAAGGATAAAGCTTACATCTACTAGCTTTTCCTTTTATCCAAAAAAGGAAAATATAAAATCTCTATCTCCATCTCTATATATATATCTGTATATACTACCTAAAAGAAACAGAAAATTCCCTCTCCCATCTTACGTCCCCCACCCCGTCGTCCATCCCCTCCAGCGGTTTTCCTCTCCTGCCGAACAATCTTTGGTAATGGTCAATTCAAGCAATTCACTTAAACCAATCAATCTCTTATTTGGTAACGCATAATAACGCAATTAATTCAGGTCAATCTCCTATTTCCTTCCAGTCTAAAATTGCTCTTACCAAATCTCTCCCGATTTTTCCTTCCTCTAACCATTCTCTCTTCCTCACGTCCCTCGATCCCAGCAGCCACCCGCCAGATGCCAGGAGTCCACATACCATATCGGCAACGGTCATAGGCGACGTAAGACTGGAGCGATGTCTTCGTTTTAGGTTGATAATCTCTTTTTTTATGTCTCTTCATCTTTTATGAGTATTAGAACAATGCACGTGCGTTGCAACGGGTATAAATATTCTAGTACGTTAACTTATGATTTACCTGTCAATAATAATGTGATTGTATCTGAACATGAATTATCTTATATTTTGGTTAGAATTTTGGTAAGTAAATTAAAAATTAAAGTGAAGTTGGTTCAGAAGATAAGTAAATTAAGGTGATGAATTATCATATACATGGAAGACTGGACAAAGTGGTGGTGGGAAGAAAGGTGAAATAGGAAACTTAGTTCTTTTAAAGTAAGTAGAGATAATGTTTCATCTTTCACTCAATTCCCGTCCAACCTCCCACACTCCATTGATTTTTTCTGGTTTTTCATCCCCTTTCGGTTTTCAGCAAACCAATTTTTTTTTGCGGGTCAGGATACCAATCTTTGGTTACCCAATAAACCAGGTCAATCCGGTATATAACAATAAATTCATGGTTCATAAAATAAATTGGGTTTTTGTGATAAAATCTTATACCAATTAGATATCTTTGATAACTCAATAAATTGCAACAAATTAATGGTTTGTAGGTAAATAAATATCAATCAATATCTTACTTTTGGTAATTGGTAACCTAATAAAGTGGATCAATCACGGGTACATACTTATTTTGGTTGTTTAAGAAATGACACAAAATTTACGGATTGTATAACGAGAACATAATTTTATGTTGTCTATTTTATTTTATTTTTTGCATCAAGATTTGTTCCATATGGTCGTCATGTTGTGTTAATAAAAAAATTTAGCTGCCGTGGCAACGCACGGGCATGAACCTAGTATAATTATAAAACAATCATATAGTTTTAAAAAGTTCCACCTCGTTGATCCATAGTGATTTAGGGATGCCCACCCAGGTGCAATCACTATAATGGCTGCTCTGAGCGCCTAAACCCTTGTATATGCTTCTTCTATCTGATACATGAACACGCAACAAATTAAGCAAGTGTACGACGTACCCTCGTTTAACGGGCATGGATCCATCAAAAGCCGGCATGCTTGCGTCAACAGCTTGGCAGAGCAGCCACTGTACCTTTGCGTGCGAATATAATTTATCAACCTTGCTCACGCTAGAGATATCCTCCTGTATATCCGCATGCATGTGGCGCGTATATATCGTGTATTCTCATGCTCCAGCCGAATTTGCGGCTAGCTTGCCACCGCGAATACATTCTAGTGTTCATATATTGTGCTATGCTAAGTATATGTTCACTCTGTTTTGGCAAGTGGTCAGGACCGATATTTATCAAAACATCGAAGCACGAAATATTCTCTCTCCGTAACTTAATATATGATGTTTTTTACACTATAAAAGTGCCAAAAAAAACCCTCTAATATTAACTTACAGAGGGAATAGTACGTCGTTGTCACAAAACTTGACCTTGCTTTTTTTTTACCTTACTTTGTTGGCATTGCATTCACATCAAAGGAATTCTAGATACCTTATACCTATTTAGATACATTATAACTTAGCACCTTTCCTGTCCTCTCAAGCCACCAAGGCTATCAGATCTACGAGTTTAAGAATTTTTGGCCGTTGGATCGATTTGCAAAAGCTCGTAAGTAACCACATATCGCTATACGGGTTGGGCCACTGCTCCCGTAACAAAATGGATGACCTGCCATTATTTGGGCCTGTTGGGCTTTAGATATCCAAGTGACCAACGGAAAAAAAATAGGGCGGTGTTCGCAGC